CTTTTGCCCAAAGAGATCCTGGGAGGCAGCAGGGTTGAGTTCTTGGCTTGATTTTGGCCTGGCCCAGTTCTGGCCCTTGAAGGCATTTGGGGAGTGGACCATTGAATGGGAACTTGGTCTCTGTCTGATTCTGTTTCCCTCCCTCCCTCCCTCTCTCCCTCCCTCCCTCTCTCCCTCCCTCTCCCTCCCTCTCCCTCCCTTTGCTTAAGTTTCCATTTTGTAGCAAGTTATTTGATAGTAGACATTAAGAAACTTTTTCCAACTATTATCTCCTGTTTTTTTTTTTTTATGAAACTTGAAGAATTTTAATATTTGATAGCACAGTGATATTGGGGGTTTGTTTTTAAGTTCTACTTAAGAGTATTATTCTGAAACCCTAGTACTGGCTGTGTATTGTTCTGGTATTTACTTAATTATTTTTGAATTAGGAATTTCGTGAGGATATGCCCTCCATTCTTGCTGATGTATTCTGCATATTAGGTAAGTATTAAGTTACCTGTAAACATGTGCTGTGTAACGGTAAGTTGATGTGCCATATTGAATAGAATGTTTTCTTTAAAAATAAGAATTTTACAAATGTTTCTGCAAATCTGGAAATAGTTTTTCTTTTTCACACAATAAACAGTATAGTATTCTATGTCAGATGTCAGTATAGTCACTTTCTAAACTATCTTTAGTGTATAACAACTTTTTTGGAGTTTTTGGCAACATATATTTATAAAAATTTGAGCTAAATTAAGTCATTTCAAGTTAAAACAAGTTTTCTGGCATGAAATTATTCTGAGTTATTTAGATTGTAGTAACAAAATAATTGTAGTCAGTGTAGATTTTCAGTGAATGATGTCAGAATCTCGAATTTGGGGCACTTGAGATATTTATTTTGCTATTGTACTCTTGATTCTTCTTAATTTTAGAAAGAGCAAGAAGAGACAAAGTATTCAAGTACTTTTGTTTTGTGGATAAGAAACCAGCTTTGGAAATAGCAACTTCTCTATTTGCACAGAATAAATAAGAATTCATGTAAGCCATAAAAGGAATATTTCTTTGACTTAGAACAGAAGGTAGTGTCCCTCTATGGGAAGCATGGATTTAAAAAACAATGTATATTACAATTTATTTTTTCTATTTTTACATCTGGATTAAAATAACTTAGCACATTTTTCTCCATTAGTTTTGTGCTTTTTAATGACTTTGAATCTAATGGGGAAAGCATTATCAGACATTCTGTTCACTTTAAAATAAGACATCCTGTGAAAGTTTGTCAAGTTGGAATGAATTATTTTAGCTCATTAATCTTAATTCCTAAAATTAGTTAAATTGCTTAAGTAACTTACTGAGACTCTAGAATTTGGCCTTAATAAGTACAAGTGCCTGGTACTTTGATCCTAGTATGTTACAGATTTCATAATAGTGGTGATACTGAGAACAGGTCAGAATGTGTGTACTGTAGTGATAAATGAAAAGACCAGACCATTGATGGGGTGACTATATGTTCCCATTTTGTTTTCCCTAGCGTAATTGTTAATAGTGCCCTCTGTCACTCTCAAAACTGTCCTCTTTGGGTTATAAAGTACATTTTTTTGGTATCTGTTGGATTGATTGATTTATACTAACAACAATTAAAAGCCCTTAGTTTTTGAAGCATGCACTAAAGATACCACATTATTTTAAAAATGAACATAACATGAAACAAATTCCAACTTAAAAAGCTGAAATTTGCTATCTATAAATTTGTATGTAACATTTTGTAAAAGCTGTTGTTCCTTAATAGTTTCAGGATTATGTTATATCTATCTTTGGGTAATCATTAGGTATCAGTTTACCAGTTGCAGTAAATTATTTACTTACTGGGTTGTGTTTTCCCTTCATAGTTAATTAGTAATATGAGTTATTACTACAAGTCATTGGTTTTTTTTTTTACTAGTAACATGAATCCATGAAGATGATGTTTGGTTGCTCTTGGGAAATTTCTTTAGCCTATCCAGTCTGTTTTTATAAGAAACATTAGGACTGTAAACTTGAAAATTTCCCTCACCTGCCCCCTCCCACAATCACTCTCATGTGAGACTTTGACAGAAAAAAAACATGATCAAGGGTGACCCCAGCTCAAGGTAGGGGAATAGGAGAAAGAATATGAACTATCTCTGAAGGTGATGATGATAATGGTAATGATAGTAATAATAATAATATAGGTGCTGTTTTTGGAGGAATTTTTGTTTTAGGCATAGTGCTTAAGCATTTAATTTCACTTTAATCCTCAGCAATTTCTGTAAGGTAGGCTTGTACTGATCAGAAAAATGAAGTTCAGGAAGTGGTGGCATTTCAAGACCATGTATTTAATTAGGCAGGATTTGAATCTGGATAGGATTTGAACCTGGATCCTGCAAGCTCTAGAGCATGTGATCTTTTTATTACATCATTTTGTGTTTGCAATGTGTTAACAGTATAAGGGAAATCAGTATTGTACTTTCCAGGTTAAGATAGCTAAAAAGCCTAATTGTGTGAGGGTGAGGGGACGTGAGAGCTTTATTTATTTATTTTAAAAGAATTATTTATTTGAAAGGCAGTTAGAACAAGCAAGCGAGTAATTTTTCATAAACTGGTTCTCCCCAAATAGTTGCAATGACTGGTATTGGTCCAAGCCAAAGCCAAGAACTGCATCTGGGTCTACCATGTAGGTGGCAGGGGTCCAAGTACTTGGGCCATCTTCTGCTGATTTCTCTGGTACATTAGTAGGGAGCTGGATTGGAAGCAGAGCAGCTGGGACTCGAACAAGCACTTTGATTTGAGATGCAAGCATTCCAAGTGGCGGCTTTTAAGCTGCTTTGCCACAAAGCTGGCCCCAGCCTGAGAACCTTAGTAACCTGAAAAGGCAAGTTTGATATAACTCGATGCCTTGCTGGGACATCTGCTTGGGGGTAGGTAGTTGGTAACTCAGAGAATTACAGCTGGAAATGGTTGAGGGCTTTTTATTAAAATCTAAAATTATAGGGGAAATGAAAGGTAACTTCATTCAGGGATGGAAAGGTAAGTAGATTTAGGATAGAAAGGAATCGGGGGGCGGGGGGCAGCATTGTGGCAAGTAGGGCCTCTGCCTGTGATGCCAGCATCACATACGAGCACTGGTTTGAGTCTCAGCTATTCCACTTCTGATCCAGCTCCCTGCTAATGCCCCTAGGAAATCAGCGGAAGATGGCCCAAGTGCTTGGGCCCCTGCACACATGTGGGAGACCTGTAAGAAGCTCCTGGCTTCAGCCTGGTCCAGTACTAGTTGTTGTGGCTGTTTGGGGAGTGAATGATTGGATGGTCTCTAACTCTGCCTTTCAAATAAATAAATCCTTAAAAAATAACAAAAAATGAATTCATTAGAATGCTGTTATGAGTTAAGAATCAAAGGATAAAGTAAACAGGAAAAGCACAGTTGGGATATTAGAGTACTGCATTGACTGAGACAACTAAGAAATTCACTGAGGTCCTATTAAGTGTTTGCTGACATGGTCAGAACCCAGGAGGATGGCATCTGAAGCAGGTCAGGTGGCTGAGGTGAGCAGATTGGTTTTGTAGAGGATGAATCTGCTATCAGGCGCCCTGATGTTAGAGACTTTAGGGCCCAAGAGAGTTGACAGATCTTGGTTAAACGAATGAGCCTAATTTAGTCCCAACCCCTTAAGATCAGTTTCCTTGAAGTTCTAGACTGAGAGAGGGACCAGAAGATGAGATACCAGGATAACAGGTGAGAGTTCCTAGAAAGGATTAACAAAATATATATGAATTAAAAAAAAGTCTTGATGAGAAATTCAAATTGAACTACTATTTACATTACATAAGTTACACAATACAATATCCTTAACACAATTTGAGCTGTATGCTTAATTACAATGGCCAAAATATGGGGGAATTGGCAGCTGTCCAAGAAGGGAAAAGTGGAGAAAGGCCGGGAAAATGTGAATATGTTTGATGATAAATTTCTTCTTATTTTTTTTTTCCTTTTTTTAGTGTTGTCAGTAGAAAGTAAACAAGCAAAACAGCAGTAGGATGTGTGTTGGAGGGTGATTTTTATTACTTTGCTAAAGCTGTTGCCTCTTAGTAACAGCACATTCTAAAGTATCAGTTGACTTTTAAATAGTTTAATAGTACGTAATCAGTTAAAACAATAATCTCAAGATAATTTTTTTTTCTTTTTTTCTTTTTTTTAGACAGGCAGTTAGAGAGAGAGACAGAGAGAAAGGTCTTCCTTCCGTTGGTTTACCCCCCAAATGGCTGATATGGCTGGCGCACTGCACCTATCCAAAGCCAGGAGCCAGGTGCTTCCTCCTGGTCTCCCAGCAGGTGCAGGGACCCAAGCACTTGGGCCATCCTCCACTGCCCTCCCAGGCCACAGCAGAGAGCTGGACTGGAAGAGGGGCAGCCGAGACTAGAACCCGGTGCCATATGGGATGCTGGTGCCGCAGGTGGAGGATTAACCAAGTGAGCCATGGCGCCAGCCCCTGAGATAATCTTGTTTGTAATCCTGCCAATCGTGGTTGAAATTTTTGATGATTATTATTTAGCATTGTTATATTTCCTCCATACCTCAGATCAGAAGACTGTTTGACAAATTTTCTGAATAATTTACTAAAACTTAAGGTCTCAGTTTAAAAAATATTTCAGTGGGAAGAAAATAAAAATCTTGAATACACTTTATTTACTAGAATTGTAATTGAAAAGATATTTTAAAATCTTTTCAAAATATCTTTGTGGAGAGTTGGTGGCCAGGTAGCTTTGTTAGAACATGGTGGTTTGACTAAGGTGGCCAAGGTCAAGGGTTTGATCTTTTTTTTTTTTTGAATTTTTTTTTTTTATTTTTTTATTTTTGACAGGCAGAGTGGACAGTGAGAGAGAGAGACAGAGAGAAAGGTCTTCCTTTCGCCGTTGGTTCACCCTCCAATGGCCACCGCGGCCGGCACACTGCAGCCGGCACACTGCAGCCGGCACACTGCAGCCGGCACACTGCAGCTGATCCGAAGCCAGGAGCCAGGTGCTTTTCCTGGTCTCCCATGCTGGTGCAGGGCCCAAGCACATGGGCCATCCTCCACTGCACTCCTGGGCCATAGCAGAGAGCTGGCCTGGAAGAGGGGCAACCCGGACAGAATCTGGTGCCCTGACCGGGACTAGAGCCCGGTGTGCCGGCGCCGCAAGGCAGAGGATTAGCCTGTTGAGCCACGGCGCCGGCCAAGGGTTTGATCTTTATAAACAAGAGGATCTTCAGATTTAGAAGAGATCTTTGTTGTCAGTCAGTTCAACTTCTTACTTAAGGAAAGAATTTATTTTTTCAGCATCTTTGACAAGTAGTTTAAACTTTGACTGTTTACCATTTTAAGGACAATATTTTTTGTAGCATTGTTGCTTCCATTGCCACAGCAGGTAGCGCTTGTTAATCAACTTACCCTTTATGGATAGATATTAAAACACTCATACATACGTCAGATGTCTCCAGTTGCCATAGTTTTAAATTTTTCCAAATTTATGATGAGGCATTTTTGAATTAGGAAGTTTTAAACAAAATATTTTAGTGTTAGAATCTAGAGAAATCAATCAAACTTATCTTTTTTTCATCATTGTAGATATTGAGACAAACTGTTTAGAAGAAAAAAGCAAGAGAGACTATTTTACACAGTTGGTATTAGCATGTTTGGTAAGTTTTAAACAGTACTTTTTAAAACTTTTCATTGGAGTCATCATTGCAGTTAATTATGTTAATGGAGGATATTTTGACATTCAGGTGACAGCTCACATAAGGTGAGATTTGGGTTTTGAAATGGAATGTGTTTTGAAATTAGATGTGATATTTCTGTGAAATAAACATGTTACCGTATCTCTTAAACTGTTCACGTGAAACCTTTAGTGATATTCCTGACCTAGTAAGTTCCTAAGGAAAGGTAAGCATCTATAAATAGAAATGACTATAGACAGCTTTTAAACTGAAAGAATTTTCCTAAACTCTTTATTAGGCAAGGAGAAAAATAATGGAAGTAATTTTCATGTAATAAATTCTAAAACTTTTCATAATTATGGTCTAGTAAACCATATGTCACAAATTTAGAACTAAAGAGAATGACATTACCCAGACCTGGAAGAATGTCCTTGTCCTTGTCTTTGTGGTGCTATTATTTGACTTAAACAGTTGAAACTAAAGAAAACTGAAATGCTATATTATCTTAAAATTCAGCTGAGACAGACTCAGTTTTAATGAGAATTTCACCTGTTGTGCTTGTCATTTGTTGGCTATGTATACTATGCATATGATTTTTAAGTGAATTTTTGGGAGAGCTGTATGTTATATATTTCAATATTTGGAGAGTCATCTTTTTTTAATTGAAGTCCAAAAACATTTTATAAGTTGATATTTATAGAATGAAATGTTTGTATTCTCATTTGGGAAAAGTTATTTAGAATATATTTAGATTGTAGATTGCGTAGTTGGAATGCTAAGAAGTAAATGACACTTAATATTTTTTAATACAGTATTTAGTTTCAGACACAGTTCTAAAGGAACGCCTGGATCCAGAAACACTGGAATCATTAGGGCTTATCAAGCAATCACAGCAATTTAATCAAAAATCAGTTAAAATCAAGACAAAGCTCTTGTAAGTATATGTATCTTATATTGGACATCAAGTAGCTGGATATTTTTTAACTTCTCATTTTGAATACTATGAGTTTTTAAGGCTCATTGAAGAAATTTTTGTGGTTAGTGTGGATCTTTTGTGTTTTTCTGCTTTCAAAGAGTAGCCTAAGATTGAGTCATCAGTGAGGTTTACTGCTGCAAAACCAGTGTTAATTTTGTCTGTATTCAACATTAAATAATATTTAATGTTCTTTTTAGCAATAAAGTAGTGTGGGACTATGACTATAATCAGAGCACATGATAGAAATAGTGGTGTATTGTTATTCTTTGATGTTAGCAATATTCTTTCCTTTTGTTACTGATTTACCCATGTAACTTCCATATTCTTTTATGAACTGTTAAAAATGATACAAAGAAGTTAAACATTTAATAGCTATTCTTATGATTATTTTAAAGTGGGAGATATTCAATAAGACTACATTATGGTATACAGGCTTGTTAATTGAAGTTAGTTTTATCCTCTTAATGATATTTATCTGATTTCAGTTATAAACAGCAAAAATTCAATTTGCTAAGAGAGGAGAATGAAGGTTATGCCAAGTTGATTGCTGAATTGGGGCAAGATTTATCTGGAAATGCTACTAGTGATTTAATCTTAGAAAATATCAAGTCTTTAATAGGTAAGATTTATATGTGTGTGCATTATGTGTTAAGATTTTTTTAAAGCTTGTAGATTATTCATAGAGACAGAATGAGTGCATTTCATATAATGCTTTGCTGAAAATTTATTGTTTTGTCAAACTTTGTTTTAAATCTTTGTCAAACACATTGTTAAAATTATATGTTTCTATAGTTTTAATGATCTGTGGCTATTTTAAAAATTTATATGAATGAGTTGAATTTCTTTTCATTTGATTGTTTTTAACCCTTGCCTGTATTCTTTCTGAATTACGGTGTTTTTGCCTTTTATTTGTTGAACTCTTTTTTTTTTTTTAAAGTTTTTTTTTTGACAGAGTGGACAGTGAGAGAGAGAGAGAGAGAGAGAGAGAAAGAGAAAGGTCTTCCTTTGCTGTTGGTTCACCCTCCAATGGCCGTCGTGGCTGGCACGCTGCGGCTGGCGCACCGCGCTGATCCGATGGCAGGAGCCAGGTATTTATCCTGGTCTCCCATGGGGTGCAGTACTTGGGCCATCCTCCACTGCACTCCCGGGCCACAGCAGAGAGCTGGCCTGGAAGAGGGGCAACTGGGACAGAATCCGGCGCCCCGACTGGGACTAGAACCCAGTGTGCCTGTGCCGCAAGGCGGAGGATTAGCCTAGTGAGCCGCGGCGCCAGCTATTTGTTGAACTCTTTATTTAGTAGAGTGTTAAGCCTTTGACTATAATGTAAATTAAATGTTATCTCAAAAATAATATTGGGTAGGTGCTGTGGCACAGTGGGTTAAGCCGCTGCTTGCAAATGCCAGCATGCCATATGAATACAGGTTCAAGTCCTGGTTACATCTCCTCTGATCCTACTCCGTGATAATATGCCTGGGAAAGCAGCAGAAGATGGCCCAAGTTCTTGGGCCTCTGCCACCCACGTGGGAGACCTAGATGGAGTTCCAGGCTCTTGGCCTTGGACTGGTCCAGCCCAGCTGTTGTGGCTTTTTGTGGAGTGAACCAGTGGATGAAAGATTTCCCTCTCCCTCCCCCTTCCTGTAACTCTTTTAAATAAAATAAATCTTTTTAAAATATTTTTTAGATTTATTTATTTATTTGAAAAGCAGAATTATTAAGAGGCAGAGGCAGAGGCAGAGAGAGAGAGAGAGAAAGAGATCTTCTATCTGCTGACTTACTCCCCAAATGGCTGCAATGGCCAGAGCTGGGCCCATCCAAAGGCAGGAGGAGCCAGGAGCTTCTTCAGGGTCTCCCATGGGAGCCAGGGCCCAAGCACTTGGGTCAGTCTTCCACTTCCCAGGCTATTAGCAGAGAGCTGGATTGGAAGAGGAACAGGCAGCACTTGAACTGGCACCCATATGGGATGCTGGCAGTGCAGGCAGAGGCTTAACCTACTACACCAAAGTGCCAGCTCATTAGTATACTTTTGAGCTGCCGATTCATAGATCCCTATACCAGTGATCCTTGTATCAAGATGGCAAAAAGCACATTTTATAATTTAGAGGAAAGGGTATCAGAGTTGTACTCCTTTAAACACTTTGTTAAACTAAACTAAGTGTACTCTCCTCTTTTTGTGTGCCTTTCAGAAACCAAAACATGTTGTATACCTTACAAACATACAGTGAAAAAAGTGATTGTTAGATTTTTTTTTTCTTTTCTGATTCAGTAGTGAAGCATAATTTTTCTTTAAATGGCAAGTTAGGAAAAACATTTTTGCTTTGTGGATAATATGGTTTTTTGTTGCACCTACTCAGCTCTGTCTTACAGTGTTGAAAGCCATAGATTGTACATAAATAAATGAGTTTGGTTGTTAGAGTAAAACTTTATAAAACAGTCAAATGGATTTAATCCACCATGGGTGATACTTTCTTGATTCCTGCTCTAAATAAAAGTTCTAGCTGTAAGCTGCTCCTGGAGTGAGCATCCTTAAACTTTGTTTTATGGATTGAAAATTGTTCTTCGTGGTTTTGGGTTTAGTTGTCTAGGATCTTTTTGGCCCAAACTCTAACCCTTTATCATCTCTCTCAGAGTCAAAATTCTTTTCACCAAGCCTCAGGGCTTTTTATTTGCTGCCTAAGGTCTAAGGTTGGTGAGGGGTATGGCCCTCTAGTCTCACAAGTACTCTTGAAGCTTGTCAGGTGACCAGAGGAACATTAAAAACAAAAAAAACAACAAACCGAGCCATTTTATTCTTGGACAGATTTTGAGACATTGAATTCCTTTGACCATGTTATTTTGAGTGTACTTAGTACTTTATTTTTGGATCAATCAATATAAGGTCTTGTCAGCCTAGATACATCTTATCATTGTGTCAGGTTTCCTCTATCTTGTTGAAAGGCCATTTGGCTGCCTCTTTTACATAATTTCTTGATTTATTAAAATTTCTTAACAATACGTTAGTTGGAGATCCTCCCTCCCCCTCACCCCCTGCCATGAAAAAGAGCACAGCTCTTGGTGATTTGAAGTAAAGGCTTTCTTTTCTCTTAGAATAATTTTTATTTTGTTAGGTGTATTTTTCTGCATCTTGATTTTATTGGTTCCTACAGTGACACGTACAGTTTTTTTGCAAATACTATTTCTCAGAAATTATTTAACACAGTATTTTCTTTTTGATAGGCAGAGTGGACAGTGAGAGAGAGAGAGACAGAGAGAAAGGTCTTCCTTTTTCCATTGGTTCACCCCCCAAATGGTTGCTCCGGCTGGCGCGCTGCGCCGATCTGAAGCCAGGAGCCAAGTGCTTCCTCCTGGTCTTCCATGCAGGTGCAAGGCCCAAGCACTTGGGCCATCCTCTACTGCCTTCCCGGGGCCACAGCAGAGAGCTGGACTGGAAGAGGAGCAACCGGGACAGAATCCGGTGCCCCAACCGGGACTAGAACCCAGGGTGCTGGTGTCGCAGGCGGAGGATTAGCCTAGTGAGCCGCGGCACTGGGCCCATAGTATTTTTTATTAGCTTGCTTCAAAAGGAGTTCTTTCTACTTTCCAAGTTGTTTCATTTTGTTGAAAGCTTGGTTTTTTCTTTATATTTTAAGGCCCATTTTGTCTGGTTACTGAGACTATAAAAATCTTTTTTAAGATTTATTTTATTTATTTGAAAGGCAGAGTTACAGAGAGAGGAGAGACAGAGAGAGGTCTTCCATCTGCTGATTCACTTCCCAAATGGCAGCAATAGCTGGGTCTGGGCCAGACTGAAGCCAGGAGTTTCTTGCAGTTCTCCCATGTTGGTGCAATGGCCCAAGGTCTTGGACCATCTTCCACTGCTTTTCCACCCAATTAGCAGAGAGCTAGATTGGAAATGGAGCAGCCGAGACTTGAACCTGGTGCCCATGTTGGATGCTGATGTTGCAGGTGGCAGCTTTATATGCTAAGCCACATTGTCAACCTATAATTATGTTATTTTTGTCTGAAATGTATACACTAGACAACTCTTCCGGTCATGTTTACAGTATTTTCCTGGTGTTTTATTTTCCTGTTTAGAAGCTCAGTTTGGCTGTATTGCTATAAAAGCCACTGTCAGTTTAATCACAGCTCTTATCTGTAGTTGCAGTTGTTCCAATATACGACCATCTTGTTCATCTTTGGGAGGAAACTTCAGTTACTGTCCAATGCATTTCTTTAAAAATATCATCCAGGAGGCGTGTACTCTCAAGGGTAGAGGAGGCTCTGTGTTATAAGCACTTGGCACCTAGTAGTTACTTAATATTTATTTAAATGAAGGAATGATTTAATGATTATAGTAAAGTCTGTCATTTCTTTATTTTTCCATTGTTCCCTTCCAGTATGTTTCCCTGTTGGTTCCTCAAAAGACATAAAAGCTGTGTGTGTGTGTGTGTGTGTGTGTGTTTGTATGTATGTATGTATATGTATTCCTTAATGTAAATGGTGGTAGAGGTAGGGAGCAAGCTGGTCCTGATCTCTCTAGATCATAAGATTGTAGATGTTTGAGCTGGATGAAATCCTTTCTAAGATGCTTGAATACAAGAGTGTCTATATTCTACCTCAATTTCCACTAGAAAATACTTTTTTGGCTATTCAGTCTTATTGATTGTTATTAGAGTCTTATTATATGTGAAATAAGTTAACTGTTATTAGAAACTAAGGTTTTGGAAATGATTTTTCTAAACTTTCAGTTTGGCTACTTTTTCTATATTATAGGTGATATTGGTTGGACTAACTTACAGCACCTGAGATTTTAATAGAAAAGTAACCGGCCACTTTTTCTTTTGAGAAAGATGCGAAGATTGATATCTGTTATAAGTGAAAGTGCATGCTACTTCTTCTATATTCTTTTTTTTTTTTTTACAGGCAGAGTGGACAGTGAGAGAGAGAGAGACAGAAAGGTCTTCCTTTTGCCGTTGGTTCATCCTCCCATGGCCGCCGCAGCCGGTGCGCTGTGGCCGGCGCACCACGCTGATCCGATGGCAGGAGCCAGGTACTTATCCTGGTCTCCCATGGGGTGCAGGGCCCAAGTACTTGGGCCATCCTCCACTGCACTCCCTGGCCACAGCAGAGAGCTGGCCTGGAAGAGGGGCAACTGGGACAGAATCCGGCACCCCGACCGGGACTAGAACCCAGTGTGCCAGTGCTGCAAGGCGGAGGATTAGCCTAGTGAGCCGTGGCGCCGGCCTACTTCTTCTATATTCTTAAATTGAATGTAGAAAGAAATGAGTTCTAGACAGTACTGATTACTGATAAAATAGTCTTGATGAGAAACATAAAATAAACATAATTTCAATGGTTCACGTTCTAGCACATTGAAAATATAAACTTCAAAGAATTGTGAATGAATGACTTTAAAGATGTCCATATAATATGTTGCTTGTTGTAGTCCTTATTCACAAATTGTGCATATGTAGACTTACGGGTAATTTTACGCTCTCGAGTTTTTCAAAATTAAGTATCTCTCTGTTCTCTATGATAGAATAGGGTGCTATTCATTTTTTTTTGTTAGTGACTTCACTTTTATATTTTGTAAATATGGATGTTATAGCATTGGAGAATTTGCCAGATCTTACTTCCATAATATACTGTTGTTAGTATTATAGCAATTTGGTGGTATTTTTTCCGTTTTATTCAGCTTTAGTTGTTATACAATAAACTGCATGTATTTAAAGGTTGAAACTGAATTTTAGCGTAAGTACATCTGTGAAAATATCATAGACAAGATAATGCACATTCTGTCAACCCTCCACCCCAATTTCCTCTTGTTCTTTTGTGTTCATCTCCCTTTCTATCCCTTTATTTCTCCCCACACAGCTGAAAATTTGCTTTCTGTTCTGTAGTTTAATTGGCTTTTTCTAGAATTCTTCTATAAAATCATATAGTGTAAATTCTTTTGGTCTGACATGTCATGCAGCACAATTATTTGGTGATTTCTTCCTTGTTCCCTGCATCTGTAGTTCTTCACATTTTACTGCTGAGTACTAATCCACTGTACTTGTGTATACTACATGTCATGCAGCACAATTATTTGGTGATTTCTTCCTTGTTGTTCCCTGTATCTGTAGTTCTTCACATTTTACTGCTGAGTACTAATCCACTGTACTTGTGTATACTACAGTCTGTTGATCCATTCACATGTTGGTGGACATGTGTGTGTATTTCCTATTACAAATAAAGCTGCTGTGAATATTTGTATACAACTATTTGTATGAACATAGACATTTATTTCTCTTGGGTAAATACTTAGGAATGGAATGGCTGGGTCATATGGCAGGTGTGGGATTAACATTTAAAGAATCTGCCAGTTTTATGAAAAGTTATTTGCATCATTTTACATTCCTATCAGTAGCAGTTAATGAATCAGATTGCTAGTTTGTATTTACTTTTTAAAAATAAGATATTGTTGGTTTGGAAGGCAGAGTGACATAGAGAGAAGAGGAGGCAGAGAGAGAAAGCATTTTCCATTTGCTGGTTTGTTCCTAAATGGCCGCAATGGCCCAGGGTTGGATCAAGCCAGAGCCAGGAGCTCTGTATGGGTTTCCCAAGTGGGTGGCAGGGGTCCAGAAATTTGGGCCATAATCTGCTGCTTTCCCAGGTGGATTAGCAGGGAGCTTAATTGGAAGTGGAGCAGCAGGTGGCAGCTTAACCTACTGAGTCACAATGCTGGCCTCTAGATTCACTCTTTAAATTTATAGAGGCCATACTTTTTGAAAGTACATGTGGAGGCAAAACACTGAGAAACTTTTCTCCAAACTTTAGGGAAATACATTTTTGAAAATCTTATGAAAATCTGGAACTGTATTCAACAGGACATGATTGCCTCATTAATCCTTCTATACCTTGGAATGCAAAATGGAAGAAAATGTGTTCTTAAATTTAGATCACATAAAGGGAAAAATAGTTACTTGGAGAAGGACTTAGTTTTCTTTTTTTTTTTTAAGGTTTTATTTATTTATTTGAGAGAGAAAGTTAGAGACAGATGGAGAGTCAGAGAGAAAGATCTTCTTCCATTGGTTCACGCCCCAAGTGGCCGCAACAGCTGGAGCTGTGCCAATCCGAAGACAAGAGCTCGGAGCTTCTTTTGGGTCTCCCACGTGGGTGCAGGGGCCCAAGGACTTGGGCCATCCTCTACTGCTTTCCCAGGCCATAGCAGAGAGCTGTACTGGGAGAGGAGCAGCTGGGACTGGAACCAGTGCCCATATGGGATGCCGGCCCCACAGGCAGAGGATTAACCTACTGCACCATAGCGCAGGCCCTGGATTTACTTTTCTAAGTGACTCTAAGATACTATGAAGCAGACTTCAGTTTTGCAGTGCTTAATATAAATAACTTTGGGAAAATGTTTTACAAAAAAAGCATAGGGCTGGGTTATATGAGGGAACTTCAAAAAGTTCATGGAAAATGGAATAAAAGATGTTTATTTTGGTGCAAAATTTTTTTAATTTCAGGCATAGTTTTATGATATGCATTTTCATGAACTTTTAAACAAAAGGTTTATTAGTTTGGAAGGGGGAGAGTTTATTAATTTGGAAGGGGGATACAGAAAACTGCTATCTCATGCTTACTCTGGGTCCTAAGAGTAGAGTAATTTTTATTGAGAGGAATGGTGTTTGGAATTACCTATATTATTTACATTAATTTTTCTATTTTTTCCCTGTGTGCAGAAGTTGAATTCTTCTAACTGAAATGTGCATATGATGTGACTGCACTGTATTATAATTATGGAAATAGCTGAGGATGAATGCATATAGAGTTAATAATGTTTTGAGTATAGGGTAGCTGGTAGGAACGTTTGTTAAATTCATGTCCATTGACCCTTTTTAGTTAAGTCTAGTACTCAAGAACACTTATTTAGTATTTATTTGCCTTTTTTTCCCTGTTCTACTGAGGTTACCTTCTTCCTTTTGTTTTTATGTGTGTCATCTATACTCCTTTCTTGTGTCCCTTGATATTCTCTGTTCTCTTAGTACCAGTAGTATATCACATTTCCCTTTACAATGCTATTAAAAACCATAAATATAAATCAGTGGTATAGGTATATCTTATAGCTCTGTTATGCATGTAAAATAAACTCAAATTTCCTTTACAAATAATGGTCTCCTTTTTGTGAATCTAAACTTTTAGCAGTTTATCACATTCTATATACTTATGTCTAAAAGTAAAATTCTTTAGTTGTCTAACATGTAACCAGCATTGTTTGGTTTTCATATTTAGCTAGGAATTAACGTGGATACTTCTGACTAGCCTAAGTAGTCAAGAACTAGTGAGACAGTGTGGCATCAAAGAATGCTTACTTGAATAGTGTCACAAATCCTGGACTCTACCCTCAGACCTGTCATTAATATATTTTGTGATCCAGGGCACGTCACGTTTCTTTCTGTAATATGTGTAGAGTACACTTTATGATCTTGAAAGTTATGAAGATGTTCCTATGGGGAAGAGGAAGCAAAACTGTAATAAGTTATTAAAAAAAAAAAGTTTTACCTGCCTGTATGTTATACCTGAAAGTTAATGGCTTTACTATAAATGATGCATAATCACTTTTGAATTTGTGTATATCTCCTCTGTTGCAGGATGCTTTAATCTGGATCCCAATAGAGTTTTGGATGTCATTTTAGAAGTGTTTGAATGCAGGCCAGAACACGATGACTTCTTTATATCTTTATTAGAATCTTACATGAGTATGTGTGAACCGCAAACACTGTGTCATATTCTTGGATTCAAATTCAAGTTTTATCAGGTAAAAAATTATGTGTGTGTATGTATGGGGGGGGAGAGGATGTGTGTGTGTGTGTAGGTTAATCCCATAATTTTTTATGTATACTTTGAATTTTATTTGTAAGTGATTGGTTTCGGCTTAGGCATTCTATAGAGCAGAGTAGATAGATAAGTGGAAAGCTAACAATGAATGATGTGATGTGAAAGCCTAGGGGAAAGCATAATTAATTTTTGTCTCAGGAAAGGTAAAGTCAGAAAAGACTTTACAGATGTGACCATTTTTCTTTTCTTGTACGTGATCCTTGAAGGATAAGTAGGAATTTGTTGGTTGTTTTCTATGCAGGAATAACAGTATGAGAGTGAAGGTGTAGTGGTGTGAATATACATAATAGATTGAAGGAATGGTCCATGGTCTGATAAGGCTGCATTGTAAAATGGGAAAAGATGGGACAAAAAATGAGGTTGGAAAGGTAGGCACCTTTTAGGTTGTCATGGACCTTGAATACTGTATTAGAATTTTATTGTGAATTTTTTTCTGGATGTGAATAAATGAGGCATATTTTATATCTTTTTTCAGTTAAATTATAATTGCTATCAAGATAATTTGTGCCTCTGATTATTTCTCTCAGTCCATCTTTCACATTGCTACTGCTATTTTCTTTTTTAAAAGGTTTATTTGAAAGGCAGAGTTAGGAGGAGAAATACCCAGGGACAGATCTTCTGTCTGCTGGTTCACTCCAAACGGTTACAGTGCTTGGGGCTAGGCCAGATTAAATCCAGGAGCCAGGAGCTTCTTCCAAATCTCTCACATGGGTTGCAGGGACCTAAGGCATTGGGTCATCTTCAGTTGCTTTCCCAATCAGATAAGCAGGGAGATGGATCGAAAGTGGAGCAGCTAGGACTCAAACCCACACCCATATGGGATGCCAGCAGTGTAAGTGTAAGTGGTGGCTTAACCTGCTGCACCACAGTGCTGGCCCTTCTACTGTTACTTTCTAAAAGAGATCTGAAGCATTTCACTGATCAAAAACCTTTGCATGTGGGATGAAATTCAATCTTGGTAAACATGTCAGAAAAAGCCCTTCACAATCTGGCACTGTTTTTTCTTTCTTTAGTAATTTTTCCCTTAAATCTAATATTCTAGTCTTATCAAATGACCAGACATTGCCTGCATTTAGTTATAAATATTGTTTTGTTTGTAGGATTCCTTATTACTAGAAAGCTATCCATATCCAACCCTCTCACTTCTCTTTTCATCTTGTCAGCTCTTTGTTAAGGTCAAATATTGCTCTATAAAGTCTTAGCTGACACTTCATCTGTGTACTTCTTAATCTGTAGTCTCAAAACTTCACATATACTTCTTTGTTTTTAAGATTGATTTATTTATTTGAAAGAGTTACGGGGAGTGGGGTGGGGGGTGGGGGGAGAGAGAGAGAGAGAAAGGAGAGACAGATCTTCCATTTGTTGGTTCACTCTCCATATAGCTGGAGCTGGGCCTGTCTGAAGCCACACAATTCTGATGAGGACCCTCACCTACAAAGGCCTCATTTTCAGTGTTCGTTAGAATCAACATAGTGTATTGTTACTATTTGCATTTTATTTATTTATTTAAGATTAATTCATTTATTTGAAAGTCAGAGTTACATGGTGTGTGTGTGGGGGGAGTCCTTCCATCCGATGGTTCACTCCCCAGTTTGCTGCTGTGCCAGTCTGAAACCAGGAGCCAGGATCTTCTTTGAGGTCTCCCACGTGGGTGCAGGGGCCCAAGGACTTGGGCCATCTTCCACTGCTTTCCCAGGCCATAGCAGAGAGCTGGATCGGAAGTGGAGTAGCCGGGACTCGAACCATGCCGGTGCTTCAGGCCAGAGCATTAACCCCCCTGTGCCACAGTGCTGGCCCCTGCATTTTTTTTTTTTTGACAGGCAGAGTGGACAGTGACAGAGAGAGACAGAGAGAAAGGTCTTCCTTTGCCGTTGGTTCACCCTCCAATGGCTGCCGCGGGCAGCGCGCTGCGGCCGGCGTGCTGTGGCCGGCGCACCGCGCTGATCCGGTGGTAGGAGCCAGGAGCCAGGTGCTTTTCCTGGTCTCCCATGGGGTGCAGGGCCCAAGCACCTGGGCCATCCTCCACTGCACTCCCTGGCCACAGCAGAGAGCTGGCCTGGAAGAGGGGCAACCGGGGCGTTTTATTTTTTAAAAAAGAATTATTGTTTGTTTATTTGAAAGGCAGAACGACAGAGACAGAGAAGACAGAGAACAGAGTTATGTATCTTCTGTCTGCTAGTTTACTCTCCAAATGGCTACAACAGCTGGGTCTGGTCCAGGCTGAAGCCTGGAGCCGGAATGTCCAGCCTGATCTCCCACATGGATGACAGGGCCCAAGTACTTGGGCCATCTTTGTCTGCCTTCCCAAAGCACATTAGCATGAAACTGGAACGGAAGCAGAGTAGCTGGAACTCTAACCAGCACTCAGATAGGGAATGCCAGAGTCCCATTCAACAAGGGTGACTTAACCCGTTGCACCATAACATCCGCCCCACTATTTGCTTTTTATATACTTGTAGCCACTTAGTTATTGTCACTTATTCTCACTTTACTCTCCAGCAATTTAAAAATTAGCTTTGAAAATTGCTAGCATTCAAAGATACGTTTCTGTGGAGAGCCCTCATGGCTGCCCTGGAATTGACTTTGCCACTTGTGTGTTTTATTTTATTAACATGTTTAAAGAATTTATATATATATATATATATATATATATATATATATATATATGAAACATGCATATGTGTGCACCGCTGTTGGTTCACTACCCAAATGCCCACAACATTTGGTGCTGGGCCAGGAGCTGGGAATTCAATCTGGTGGCAAAGTGACAGGAACCCAGTTACTTGAGCCATCACTGCTACCTTCCAGGGTCTGAATTAGCAAGAGCAAGAAGCTACAGTCAGGAGCCAGAGCTGGGAATCAAATCCAGGTACTATGAGATGTGGTTTTGACATCTCAACCATTATCTTAACCTCTAGGCTGAACACCACCCTGTGATCCCTATTTTAAAATATTAGTTTATCTCAACATGGTGTCCTCCAGTTGCATCAAATGGTAGAATTTCATTCTTTGATAGCTGAATAATATTCTGTTGTGTGTATGTATATACACACACACACACACACACACACACACCACATTTTCTGTATCCATTCATCTGATAATGGAAATCTTGGTTGGTTCCAAATTTTGGCTGTAGTGAACAATACTAGTATAAACATGGTGGTGTAGGTATCTCTTTGATACATTGTGTACAAGTCTTTTCAATATGTACTCTGAAGTGGGGTTGCTGGATCATATAGCAAGTCTATTTCTAGTTTTTTAAGAAATTTCCACACTGTTTTCCATAGTGGCTGCCCTAACTGACATTCCCACCAACTGTATGTAAGTGTTCCCCTTTGTCCACATCATTGCCAGCATTTGTTTCTCTTTGTGTTTTGGATTTTAGCCATTCTGACAGGGTTGAGATGATACCTCATTGTGGTTTTGATTTCCATTTCCCCGATGGCTAGTGATGCTGAGCAATTTTTCAAATATTTGTTGGCCACTTGTATTTCTTTTGAGAACTGTCTATTGAAGTCCTTTACCCATTTCTCACCTAGATTGGTTGTTTTTGTTGTTGAATTTTCAAGATTTTATTTATTTATTTGAGAGGTAAGAGTTCCAGACAGAGGGAGAGATAAAGATCTTCCATCTGCTGTTTCACTCCCCAGATGGCCACAATGGCTGGAGCTGAGCCGATCCAATCCAAAGCCTGGAGCCAGGAGCTTCTTCTAGGTCTCCCACACGGTTGCAGGGGCCTAAGCACGAACATCTTCTAATGCTTTCCCAGGCCTTTGCAGAGAGCTAGATTAGAAGAGGAGCAGCCCCGACATGAACCAGTGTCCATATGAGATGCCCATGCCACAGATGGAGGTTTAGCATTCTAAGCCACAGCACCAGCCCCCTGTTGAGTTTTTTGAGTTGCTGATATATTTGGGATATTGATCCTTTGTTAGATAGGTGGTTTGCAAATATTTTTTTCCCATTCTGTTGGATGTCTCTTTGCTCTATTGATCATCCTTTGCTGTGCAAAAGCTTCTGGATTTGATAATAGTCCCATTTGTTTACTTTTTTTCTTTAAGGTTTATTTACTTATTTATATGGCAGAGTTACGGAGAGGCAGAGAGAGAGAGAGAGGAGATGGATGTCTTCCATCCACTGGTTCACTCCCTAAATGGCCGCAATGGCTGGAGCTGAGCCGATCTGAAGCCAGGAGCCAGGAGCTTCTTCTAGGTTTCCCAGGCGGGTGCAGGGGCCTAAGCACTTAGACCATCTTCTGCTGCTTTCCTGGGCCATAGCAGAGAGCTGGATCAGATGTTGAGAAGCCAGGACTGGAATCAGCGCCCAAATTGGATGCCGGCACTGCAGGCAGTAGCTTTATCCACTACACCACAGCACCAGCCCCCACTCCCCCATTTGTTTAGTTTTGCTTTTGTTGCCTGTACTTTGGGGATCTTGTACAAGAAGGGGTCCCCTACAACTGTGTTTTGGAGTGTTTCTCCTATGTTTTCTTCAGCAGCTTTGTTGTCTCAGGTCTTAAGTTTATGTCTTTGATCCATCTTGAGTTGATTTTTGTATATGGTGAGAGGTATGGATCTAATTTCATTCTTTTACATATATACATCCAGTTTTGCCAGCACCTTGTTGAAGAGATTACCCTTCACTGTATGGTCTGAGCACTTTTGTCAAAAATAAGTTGGCTGTATGTACATGGATTAATTTCTGGGCTCTCTGCTCTGTTATTGGTCTATGTGTCGATTATTATGACAATACCAAGCTGTTTTACTTACTATAGCTTTGTAGTATGCTTTGAAATCAGGTATTGTGATGCTTCCACCTTGCTTTTCTTGCTCTGGATTGCTTTGGGTATTCGTGCTCGTTTGTAATTCCATAAATAGAATTGTTTTTTTCTAATCCTATGAGGAATGCCATGATAGGACTTGCATTGAGTCTGTAAATTACTTTAGGTAGTATAGACATTTAAAAAATATTGATCTTTGCTATCCATGAGCATGGAAAACAAACTTTTTCTGTATCCTTGATAATTTAATCAATATTTTGTGGTTTTGTAGAGATCTTTCACTTTCATTAAATTTATTGCTAAATATTTGATTGTTTTTGTGGCTGTTGTGAATGGGATTTCTTTCTTGATTGATTTCTCTTTCTGTGAGCTCATCATTAGCATGTAAAAAAGCTACTGTTTTTTGATATGTTTTCTAACTTGCAACTTTAGTGGGTTGGTTTGGACTCAGAAAGAGAATTACCACATGTTCTCCCTTACATTTGGGAGCTAAAACTTTAAAAATTAACAAAAAAGAAATAAGAGATGTCTGTGTGTATCAGTATTGCTGAAAATGTAGTTTTGTAAAACTTTTAAACTTTTGCAAAACCAATGGTTAAGAATGTTATACTACTGTAGTTTTAGAGATCTGTGATCAATTTAAAATTTACTGTATATGGGTGAAATGGTCATTTTTCCATTTATTGTTTATGGCTGTTGTCTGTAGTCCCAGTAAACCAGGGTCTTCTTGATTTTTACTTGTTAAAATTCTTATTTGGTGAAGTATTAAGACTTTTTACTGTAATGTAATTTTAAAATGTTATCTTAAAATAAAAAAAGGCAGGAAGAAAGGGAAAAAGAATGAGGGAGACAATATCATTATGTTCTTAGAATTCCATCTACAGATCACATTGAATCTGTTAAAAATTCTATTAAAAAATTAAAAGATCCTGTATAATTCTTCAGCCATCCAAATGAAGTAAATGATCTCAGATTAATAGTTTTTCATATGTCTTATTTTTACGAAACTTATTGAATCTGTCCTAGTTCTACAGCATACTTTCACAATTGCTTTTAAAGTGATATCTGTGTACTTTGACTTACATCTCTGAAACTACTGCTTGAATGCTTTTTGATTTCATACCTATATCTTAAAGTTTCTGATTCGTCTACCAAAATTTATTGATTGATTTGTAATAGACACCTGTTTTAAAGGGGAGATTAGCTGGCGATCGATAAGATCAATAAAAGATTTAGGGAGGAAAGTATTAAGGAAACGTACGGTTCTATCCTTACACATTTATCAGTCTTAATATATCTGCATCTCCACTGAGAGCTACTTGGAAAAACAAGTGAAGGAAACACATAAATAGACAGAAACACATACTATTATACAGTATAAAGTCATGCTTATTCAGTTGTTAATTTTATTCAAAAGTTAACTTGCATTGTAGAATGTGTCCATCTTGAAACTGCTTTCCTTTCATCAGAAGATGGTTCCAATGTTGATGTAATAATCATTGTCCTAAATTCAGATGATTGGTGTGATGAGAAAGAGTGATGAAGTGTGTTCTTGGCTTAGAGTTATTTGATAGATTTTAATTGCTGTACTTTATACACTCTAAAATTTTCTTTCTGTTTTTTAAGGAGCCAAATGGCGAGACTCCATCATCTTTATACAGAGTTGCAGCAGTACTTCTGCAGTTTAATCTTATTGATTTAGATGATCTTTATGTACATGTAAGTTAAGTGGGATGTTAAAAATATTTTGATGTCTAACTCTCGGGTAAGAAAGAGGGAGTAGTCATCTACATAGCACTCCAAGGCTGGTGCTAGGCTCTCAAGTATTTTTTTTGAAGCACCAATACATTATTGCTTTGCATTTATAAAGTGAATGAATTTAATTCCTTGAAAAAAATCACAGAAATCAAATACCTTTTCATCACCTCTATGGAGTTTAAGATTGGATATAAAGCTTAAGTTCTTAAGTGTCAGTAAGGAAATAACTTCCTTGCCTATCTGGAGTAAGTCTTTTTCTCTAACTTGGAAACACTCATAATCTAGCAAGGTAGAAAATACAGTTTTGCATACATAGTAGGTACTCTTTTGGAGGTATTCACAAAGTGCTGTTTGATCTCAGAGTAGATAGTGTTCATATATTTAGAGGGAGTAGTTTAGAAGAGTTTTCCAAATAGTGATGTCAAACCGGGATCTTGATAAATGAGAAGTAGTTGCTAAGGCTTAAATGATGGGAAGATTTTTAGGTAGAATTAACTGAATGTTGTAAGGGCAGGAGGTTTGAAAGGACTTTACTATCGCTTTTTGGAGAACATCAGGAAGCTCAGAGTGGTTGGAGCCTAGAATGGTTTATATAGGGAATGAGGATAGAGAAGTTGTTGGGGGTAAGCTATACGGAATGGTTTTAATGACATAGTAAGAAGTCTGGATTTTTCTCTTGGGAGTAGAGTGGCATTCAGGTTTTAACAAAGAGAAGTGTTGTACAAATTGAGAATATAAAAAATTTGTCAGAAAAGGGAGAATTTGAAGAGAGAGGTATGAATTTAGAGGCTAATATAGAGTAGCATAGCAAATGGAAAATACAAAAATGATAGATTTAATACTGATATGTTTAACAATAAATGCAAGCAGACTAAGTGCTATTGTTACGATGATGACAATTATCAGATGAGATTAAAATCAATTTGTTGATTTGAAAATATGAAACTGTGAACTGCTAACTCATTTTAAGAGGTGTACAAAATTTAGTACTTGTTAAATTCTAAGAAAATAACAAACTTATTTGGAAGGGAAACCATGGTCGTGAATAGGAGACTTCTTATTTGCATTTTTTCAGTTGAGAATAGTGTTTGCTTTTATATGAGCAGGTGGTTAATATTAGCTGTTTCATTAAATTTTAATGACTTATTTTTAGCTTCTTCCAGCTGATAATTGTATTATGGATGAACATAAACGGGAAATTGTGGAAGCTAAGCAAATTGTTAGAAAACTTACGATGGTTGTATTGTCTTCTGAAAAAATGGATGAACGAGAGAGAGAAAAGGAAAAAGAAGAAGAGAAAGTAGATAAGGTATATAATTCATTCTAGTAAAATTAATAATGTCTTCTGGACTTAAAGTCACAAATTTTTTTTTTGACAGGCAGAGTAGACAGTAAGAGAGAGAGACAGAGAGAAAGGTCTTCCTTTGCCTTTGGTTCACCCTCCAGTGGCCGCCGTGGCCGGCGCACCGTGCTGATCCGATGGCAGGAGCCAGGTACTTCTCCTGGTCTCCCATGGGGTGCAGGGCCCAAGCACTTGGGCCATCTTCCACTGCCTTCCCTGGCCACAGCAGAGAGCTGGCCTGGAAGAGGGGCAACCGGGACAGAATCCAGCGCCCCGACTGGGACTAGAACCCGGTGTGCCGGCGCTGCAAGGCAGAGGATTAGCCTAGTGAGCCGTGGCGCCGGCCACAAAATTTTAAACTTCTAATAATTAATCAGCTTATGGATGGATGCAGAATCTCCTAGTTTTTTAATTTTGCTGAGAATGGATTTTCAGAATACTCAAAAAAGCATTTTTAAAAAGTTAATATAGGAAACCAAAACAGACAGGAAGCAAAAGTGATTATCTGATGTCATCTTCCTACAAAGGGCTGCCATATTTTTTTACTTAGTAAGTTTCAAAATGTATTTTAAGTAAAACCACAAAATATATTTATGGTCTTTGTATTAATGTTCCATTCGTAAAGGGATTCTCCCTCCTTTTTTTTTATTTGAAAGGCAGAGTTACAGAGAGGGGGGCAGAGAGAGAGCTATCTATCTTCCATCTGTTGGTTCACTTCCCAGATGGCCCCAGTGGCTGGGGCTGTGCCATGCAAAAGCTGGAGCCTGGAGTTCCTTCTTGGTATCTTACTTGGGTGCAAGGGCCCATGCACTTGGGCCATTCAGCTGCTTTCCTAGGCATATTAGCAGGGAGCTGGATCGAAAGTGGAGCAGGGGCTGGTGCTGTGGCGCAGTGGGTTAATGCCCTGGCCTGAAGCATTGGCATGCCATATGGGTGCCGGTTTGAGACCTGGATGCTCCGTTTCCAATCCAGCTCTCTGCTGTGGTCTGGGAAAGCAGTAGAAGATGGCCCAAGTCCTTGGGCCCCTGCACCCACGTGGGAGACCCGGAAGAAGCTCCTGACTCCTGACTTCGGATAGGCGCAGCTCCAGCCATTGCAGCCAGTTGGGGAGTGAACCAATGAAAGGAAGACCTTTCTCTATGTCTTTCCCTCTCTCTGTCTGTAACTCTTCCTCTCAAATAAATAAATAAAATCTTTTTTAAAAAAAGTGGAGCAACCGGTACTTTTGTATTGGATGCTGGTGTCACAGATGGTAGCTTTACCCCCAATGCCACAAGACTGGCCCCCAGGGAATTCTCAAATATGAATGAATTTTGGTTGCCTATGGCACAATATAATGTTAAGTAGAACTTAATCCCAAGTCTGTAAACTATAATACCTGTGCCTGCTAAATGAAAAAGTGGAGTCTTTTTTTTTCTCAGTTAAAAACCTTGGATTGTATTCTCAGGACAATGCTATTCAATTTCCCATTAATGACAACTATTTTTGATATCAATTGTATTGTGTAGCTCAGTTTTTAAAGTGAAACAGTATTAATATTTTTTTGATTCCTGTATCTTAAGTATCTTTGATGTGACTGTTTATTTTTAGCCACCTGACAACCAAAAGCTTGGTTTATTGGAAGCCTTGTTAAAGATTGGTGATTGGCAGCATGCCCAGAACATTATGGATCAGATGCCTCCCTACTATGCAGCTTCACATAAGCTAATAGCCCTTGCTATCTGCAAGCTTATTCACATAACTATTGAGCCTCTCTACCGAAGGTATGTTACTGTATACTCATCTTTGAGATAGAAATTGTTTAGGACTACAAAGGCAATGTTGCATATTTATCTTGTCTCCTCAAACCAAGCATACACTCTAGTGCATTTTATCAAGAGATTAGAATTATTCCCAGAAATTTTCAGTCTGATAAATGTTAATGAGTGACTTGTCTCCTCATGCCTAGACCAGGTATTCTAGAACATGTTATTGGAGTGTAATTTACAAATGATAGGTTCAATTTCTAGGTTTGGTTTGTTCCGTTAGGAATGAAAACTCCATTTTCCTATTTTTTGACTTGTCTTCCTCTCTTGGAGCAGGGAATTCCTGTTTTTATTTTTATTTAGTGTAATTTTCCTCTACCCTGGATTGAGTGGCTCTGAGGATGTTGTCTCTGTTGGCCTTATCTCTCCTGGTGTATAAGATGGTGTTCTGGAAATTACCAGTAAAGCCTCTCTCATGATCCTTAGTTACTGTGTTGACCAGTCATGTAGCCCTCAGCCTACTTGCAGAATACTTAAGAGCACTATTGGCAGCAGCTCTGGCTTCAGCCCACAGATCAGAGCCTGCCTCAAAAGCCCCAGCCTTGTGATCGTGCATAGCTGCTGATTGCTGCCTTCAGTGCCACCTGGGCTGTGGAACATGAAGGTTTCTTCTCATAGAGTGACCCCTGTGACTCCACAGCGGGACACCTGCTCAGCAGGTGAGAACTCTGGGCATTCTATCCTTTTTAGTGTCACACCTTCCTTCATTATTCAACTCACCTTCCCTGCCACCACCTCCCTCATACTCGGTCTGGGTATTGGAACCCAGACTAAGAAATGTTAATTGACATGAATCAGTGTTGTTATATCCATAATTTTCTGTTTCATTTTCCAGTGTCTCAGAGGTCCATCCCTCTTCCCCATTTCTATATCCAAATTCTTAATACTGTCCAAGTTTGAAAACAAATGATATGTATTGAATGTTACTTGGGATCTACGTTTCTTGGATTTCCTATTCTTAAGTGGTTAATTTGAAACACTGTCCTCTTAGCTGTATTTTTTTCCTATAATATTGTTTTTGTATTTTTTCTACCAGTTGAGAATTATCTGTTACAATAACATTAGGCACAATTGAAATACAGAAATCAAATATGAGCAGGAGTTTAACTTACTAATTAAGATGACTGTTAACTTAAAATGGAAGGTATTGTATAGTGTATATCTATATACATGTATAAATATTTTGCTCTTTTTAAATAGAGTTGGCGTTCCTAAAGGTGCTAAAGGCTCACCTGTTAATGCTTTGCAAAACAAGAGAGCACCAAAACAAGCAGAGAGCTATGAAGATTTGAGGAGAGACGTGTTCAATATGTTCTGTTATCTTGGTCCTCACCTTTCTCATGATCCCATTTTATTTGCAAAGGTTGTGCGCATAGGCAAGTCATTTATGAAGGAGGTCAGTAAGATTTTTCTTTCAAGCAAATTTAAATTTTGAAATGAAAATGTTGTGAGTATACTTGTATTACAGGTATTCTAGGAACAAAACTAAAGTGAACCCAATTTAAGATTATGTTGAGTAAGATTTGTGGAAAGTCATTGTGTCTTAACCGTTTATGTAAAGATTGTTAGCTGAGTTCCCCTCCTCAGAAAATATGCTATGGACAAGTGGCTGCTTTATGAATCCTCTTATAATTAGTGGTTACTTTTCTCTTGCTTGTTTTCTACTCATTTACATGCCTTCAGTTTTCAATCCTTACTGTTATATTTAAGAAGGGTCTTCAACCTCAGAATGTTGAAGACCTATTTATATGTTTTAAGTAAACTTTTTATTGAAATAAAACATAATTGTATAGCTCACTGTCTTTTCCCAAACTAAACACCCATGTGTTCACCTCCCAAATCAAGAGATAAAACAAAGACTACCAGCAACCCAGGGTCTCCTTTGTACTCCCTTCAAGTCATTACCCCAAGTATTATCATCTGTGCAATTTTTTTATTTTAAAAACTTATTTATTTGAAATGCAGAGTGTCAGAGGGCGACTGAGTGAGGGACAGAGTGGGAGAGAGAGGATATATATGTGTGTGTGTGTGTATATATATATCGTTTGATAGATAGAAATATCTTCCATCTGCTGGTTCACTCCCCAAATGGCCACAACAGGCAGGAAGCTAAGCAGGAAAAAGGACCAGGCTGAAGCTAGGAGCCAGGAACTTCATCTGGGTCTTCCACATGGGTGGCTGGGACCCAAGCACTTGGGCCATCATTTGCTGCCTTCCTAGATGTATTAACAGGAAGCTGGATCAGAAGCCAAGCAGCTAGGACTTGAACTAGTACTCAGATATGGGATGCCAGATTCCCAAGGGGCAGCTTAACCCACTGTGCTACAATGCTGGCCCCCTATTTTTTGTTGTTTTAAAAATCAGCTTTGTGGTATACTTTATATAAACATTTCCAATGTTGAATGTATTATTCAGTAAGTTTTGACAAATTTATACAGTTGCATGTCCATCAACACAATTAGTAGAGAATGTTTTTTATCACCCTTGAAAATTTCCTCTTGCCTCTGCTATAAGTTTTCTCCCTCTATTGCTAGTTTCTGGTAACCTCTGAAAGGCTTTCTGTCACTCACTGTAGATTTTGTAGAACTTAATTTAGGTGGAACCGTGTCGTATGTAATCTTTTCTGTCTGGTTTCTTCCACATAATACTTTTGAAATTCATCAAAGTTGTTGATTGCGTCAGCAATTTCTTTCTTGCTGGGTAATATTTCATTATATAGACATACAAGAGTTTATCCACTCACCAAATTGATGGATGTTTGAGTTGTTTGTAGTTGGGGGCTATTATTAATAAAGCTGCTTTGAATATTCTTGTATGACTTTTTTGGGGGACATAATTTTATATGTCCTCAGGAGTGGAATTACTGGATCATAGGAATAAACTCTTTAAGGAATTAAAGGAATTACCCAAATGGTCCATACTGGACCAGTTTGCTTTTCTAGGTGCAGCTTTATAGGATGCTCCAAATCCTTGCTGATACATGCATGGTATTCTTACTCTTGTACATTTTAGTCTTTCTAGTGGGTGTTGTATTTTAATTTGCATTTGCCTGTGACTATTGATGTTGAGCATCTTCTAATGTGCTTATTTGCCATTTGTAATCATCTGTAGTGATTTGTTCATAAATCTTGCCCATTTTTAAGTTGTATTATCTTTTTATTATTGAGTAAATTTCTTCATATATTCTCCATACAAGACCTTTATCAGATATTTGATTTTGATTTTTTTTCTCAGTCACATTTACTTCTTAAGTTTTGTTATCTTTGGAATAGCAAAAATTTTTAGATGTTAATTAATTCCAAGTTAACAGTCTTTTTCTTTTGTGTTTGCTTTTGTGCTGTAAGAAATCTTTGCTCAACCCAAGGTTTTCAGGATGAAAATCTTATACTACATATGTCAAATTAAAGAAATATGTAAACACATAATCATAGAAATAATTACAAGTAACCACAGTATAGAAGACTTCTGTTAATGATATCTAATTTAAGTACGGCAGCTCCTTTTTTTTTTTTTTTTTGACAGGCAGGTTAGACAGTGAGAGAGAGAAAGGTCTTTCTTCTGTTGGTTCAACCTCCAGATGGCCGCTATGGCCGGCGTGCTGTGCTGATCCGAAGCCAGGAGCCAGGTGCTTCCTCCTGGTCTCCCATGCAGGTGCAGGGCCCAAGCACTTGGGCCATCCTCCACTGCCTTCCCGGGCCACAGCAGAGAGCTGGACAGGAAGAGGAGCAACCAAGACCAGAACCGGTGCCCCAACCGGGACTAGAACCTGGGGTGCCGCTGCCGCAGGTGGAGGATTAGCCTAGTGAGCTGTGGTGTCGGCCAACCCCAAGGCAATAAGTAAATCTTGTATAAGAAGTTTAATTGTGGGACCAGCGTCATGGTATAACATGTTAAGCTGCCACCTGCAATGTCAGCATCCCATATGAGCACCTGTTTGAGTCTCAGCTGTTCTGCTTCCCATCTAGCTCCCTGCTAATATGCCTGGGAAGGCAATAGAAGATGGCTGAAGTACTTGAGCCCTGTAATCCATGTGGGAGACCTGGATGGAGTTCAAGGCTCTAGGTTTTGGCCCAGTCCTGTCTATTGGTGGCCATTTGGGGACTGAACTAGCAGATGGAAGATACCTCACTCTCACTCTGCCTTTCAGACAAATAAGTTTTTAGGGAAAAAAATCACTGATAGACTCCTCAATTGCCCACAACAGCTGGGTCTGGGTCAGGCCAAAGCCAGGACCCAAGGACTAAGTCCAGGTGGAAGGGACTCAAACCACTTGAGCCATTGCCTGCTGCCTCCCAGAGTCCACATTGGTAGGAAGCTGAAACTGGGAGTGAAGCTGAGACTTGGACCCAGGTGCTCTAGTATGGGATGTGGGCATCCTAACTAGTGTCTTAACTGCTGCTTCAAATGCCTGTTCCTGCATCTAATTTAGATTTTAAAACTCATTTATCTGAGAGAGAGAGAGGTAGATTTCTTCCATTCTCTGGCTGATTAACTTCCCAAATGCCTGCAATGGTTTGGGCTGGCCCAGGCTTGAGCCAGGATCCAGTAGCTCAGTATGGATTTCATTTGTGTGTGGAAGAGACACAGCTACTTGAGCCATCACCTGCTGCTTTCCAGGGTGAGCATTAGCAGGAAGCTGGGCCCAGGAGCAGAGGCGGGAGTTGAGGCACTTGGAAATGAGAGGCAGCATTAGCAGGAAGCTGGGCCCAGGAGCAGAGGCGGGAGTTGAGGCACTTGGAAATGAGAGGCAGATGTCCCAAGTGGCTTTGGCTTTTCAACAGCTGTGCAAAACACCTGTGCTAATTTTAATTTTAAACAACAATAACTCTTGAAAACTTAAAAGCTGTTGTATATTGATCCTTTAACACCTGAAATGTTTAACTTGGCTTTTAATACTAGTTTTTTATGCCCATAAATGAAAATAGCATAAAAGTTCTCTAAATATGTTAGGTAGTTAGTTATTGTATTTATCATTTATTATATAACGTGCATATAAAAGGGAATCATGACAACGTTTAAACATTTTGATCCTTATGGTCTGGAAAGAATGCCATTTTAACTAGTGCCTTCTCAAAGAGCAGAGTTATGTCTTAGTGCATCCTATCAGGAAGCATGTGAAATCATTTTGTTCTATTACTGATGATTTTAACTTTGATCACTTGGTTAAGATGAGTGCTACCAGCATTTCAGCTGTACTGTTACTGTTTTTCCCTTTAGGAGATACTTTTGGGAATGTAAATAGCCTGTTTCTCATCATACTTCCACCTACCTAGTGCTGGTCTGTCTCTTGTACTAAATAAAGAGCTAAAAAAGTCAGAAGTAAAGACAATAGTCCAGCAGGAAAGCAGGAATGGGCTACAAACAATATTCAAATGAAAAGACTTTTTTTAAAAAAGATTTATTTTATTTATTTGAAAGGTAGAGTTAGGGAGAGAGAGAGAAGTCTTCCATCCACTGGCTTACTCCCCAGATGGCTGCAATGCCCGAGGCTGAGCCAGGCCGAAGCCAGAAGCTTCTTCTGTGTCTCCTGCATGGGTGAAGGGGCCCAAACGTTGCTTTCCCAGGTGCATTAGCAAGGAGCTGGATTGAAGTAGAGTAGCTGGGACTCAAACCAGCACCCACATGGGATGCCGGTGCTGCAGGCAGTGGTTTAACCTATGCCACAATGTCCAAAGATGGTGTTCTTAATTGAGAATCTTGATATCCAGATCTCTTGTTTTGAAAGTCTTTGTTTGGCAACAATTAAAAACTTGTAAGCAGGAGACCAAATATCCAACTTATGGAAGTTGTCCAATACATAAGCATTATATATATGTGTGCACACAATATGTACAATATTGCTTCCAAGATACACAGTTGTTAGGACTGCTGTACCTTGGTTCTGTCCTGGTTGGACCTGGCCCCAGTCCCAACTCCAGTCTATTCTTGCAGAGATATTGAAGGAAGAAGGGAAGGAAAAAATGCGTTCTTTTGGACTACTCAGGCCAATGTGGGAAGAAATTTGTCTTTTCTCATGACTAGGGTCGTGGTATGAAAAGTGAATATTTCTGATAATCTGGGTTAGAATTTCGATTGATTTTTGCCCCTATAAATATTGCACTATGACAGATCATTTGTTCGTGTTTATAGGTATATTGGTCTTTTGTTCCCTAGCTTGATTTCAAAGAAGATTTATAAGATTGTTTCTAAAAAATTTTCAATTAAACTTTTTTTTAAGATTTATTTTATTTATTTGGAACGCAGAGTTAGAGAGGTAAAGAGAGATCTTCCATCCGCTGGCTTACTCCCCAAATGGCTGCAAAAACGAGGACTGTGCCAGGCCAAAGCCAGGATCTAGGAGCTTCTTCTGCGGCTCCCACGAGGGTGGCAGGGGCCCAAGGACTTGTGCCATCTTCT